AAGACGTCTACGGAGTAGTCGTACCTTACTACGTAACGTACGTACGTCGTAAAATAAATAACTACGGTACGTCGTAGTATACTACGACTACCACCCACCCTCCTCTCTCTCTCTCTCTCTCTCTCTCTCTCTCTCTCTCTCAGTGTTAGTAATTCTTATAGCATGTATTGCGTATAAAATTCTTGTCATTCATTAACTTGGTCAGCTGATGTCAATATCATTTGCAGTCTATTGACGAGAGCACACATGTTTCAAGTGATGAAAAGGTATGTTTGAGTATGGCTCAAGACTTCTTGTTTAGTAGTAAGCTCCATATAATTTGTATCTATTGATGTCTCTTCTCTCTCTCTCTCTCTGGGTGTATGTGCCTGTTGAACTTCATAGACATACTAAATGTACTCCTTTTTCCTGTACATAACTAGCTTCAGTATTCTGTCCAATCATTTTTAGGTAGGAGATGTTTTTGTTATTAATGTTCAAAATTTGTGGTTAGTTGTTTTTCATTGATGGATCTATCCCCCCTCTGAACTTCTTCCCCTCTATTTGACTTGCAGAAAGTAGTAACTAAGGATCCATGCTTGTGGAATGGTGTGAAGAGGCCGTGTTATTTATTTGCAAGAAAATTCTACCCTGAAGCATTGGATCATTTGCTGCAATATTTCTCCAATTACACAACGATTTGAATTACTCCTATCTAATTCTTTGGTTGGCTTCCGAGTTCAATCCTAGGGGTGTATGTAATATATTGTTGCGGTGAAAGAAAAGGAAGAGAAAAGAAAAAAAAAGGTAGGAAAAAGAGAAAAGAAGGGAACAAAATAAGTTCTAAGAGTTCTCTCTCTAATTTGATGAAATCAAGAAGCAACATGGGTGCAAGCCTTCGAGCTTTTCGGGTGGCCGCTATGAAACTGACAGAGTCTTTTGCTTTGCTTCCTCTTGGTTATGATTATTTAACATGTCCCATTCTTTTGTTTCTGTTTCAATTTTAATTCCTTGTGAACAATTGAGTTTGTGTCAGGATTTGCAAATTTTGGTACAGTTGATGAATTTCCTAATTTGATTGATTTAGTGTGAGTATTGTTTTCCCGGCTCCATCCCCTTGTTTCTTGAAGTGAGTTAATTTCGTGTTTTTTTCCTTTGGCTTTTTGTTCACTTCAGTAAATTAATTGATTGCATTGTTCTTTTTCTTTTTTTGGTTTCTCCCATAATGTTGATGCTGCAGTTTCCTTCTCTAAATGGTCACCTGATCTCTTAAAAGGCCAGTTCTCGTTATTGGATGTTTATACAAGACATGTTATTCTGTTTTTTTGTTTTAAATGTAACGTCTAAAAGCATGATTTTTCCGCCCTTTTATTTCTTTTTTTCATCCCTTTTATTTCTTTCAATTTTTATTTTTCTCATTTCTATTTCACATTTTAGAAATCTGTGAAGCCTAAAGTGTAACACCTAAAACATCTCTTGTGAAAGAAGAATTAACAACATAAACATCAAGCAAACTAAATGTTTTTGTGAAAAATGGAAAACCAAATCATAAACTTTTTACCTTATGAAACGATGCATGCATATCTGGTAAGTTACTTGAACCAAATGGTCAATTTTCTGGATGTTTAACAATCACTCAAATAAGTAGCCGCTTTGGAGTTTTACGAATTGAGTAGGCAGTTGTCAGCTCTTGCGTCATAGTCTTGATCAAAAGTATTTTCACCGTGGTTTTCATATGCGCTAAACTGGAGTTTCAAGATTAAGGAATAAAATTGGAGTTCATTTCATCATCATCCTCCCCCTCAGAGTTTTTTCTAACTATTTAGCGTTTGTTATACGAATCCTGGTCTGTCATTATGTTTTATTAAAGGCCATATTCTCACTACTTCTAATTACGTCTTTTTTTACCTATTTTTTACCGTTTTTGAGCATTCCATTTGGACTAACTCGTAATTCCTAACAGACACTGTACTAGGCTTGCCCTATACATGGTCAACCCACCTAAGTCAACTTTATCTAATCTTATTGCCTATTGGTGCCACACCTAAATTCTTTCGAATGTATTCATTTTGAATTCTATCCCTTCTTGTCTGTTTTTTTTTTTTATGGAAGGTTCAGAAATTTTATTAATTTAGAATGAAATTACAATATTAGACATAGAAGTATCAGAAAGGAATGATCATCCTTTAGCAAGAGAATCTTCCATCAAATTAGTTTCCCCATACAAATGAACAAAAGAGACAGAAAAAGTGGAGGAGAGGTCAAAAATCTGAAACAACAAAGATTTGAATTCCTAAAGTAGCATTTGATCCCCTTTGCACCTTTTAATGACATTGAGGGAATCCCCTTCAAAGATGTACGAACATCCCAAATTCCTCTCCACAATGATACGCAAACCAAATAAAAGAGCAAAGAGCTCTGCATAATTGGCAGTCCGCACCCCAAGTGGCCCTGTATACGTAAAGACCACATTCCCCATCCAATCTCGAAGCACCCCTCCAAAACCAGTTGGTCCCGGGTTCCCTAGAGAGCTACCATCGAAATTAAGTTTGTAAACCCCAGGTGGTGGAACCATCCATCTACCTTTAGGCCTACATTTTAGGAAACCCAAATGGAATAGATTATTTAAGTTTCTTCTAACATCCACTTCAGATATATCTTGCCGTAGTAACTGAAAGATGTAAGCAAATAGAGTGTAAAATCCTCTCCATAACTTTTTCAAAAGGCATACCAAGCTCTTCAAAAACTCTTATGTTTCTCTCTTTTCAGATTTCCCAGAGAATGACACCTCTAGAGATTTGCCAAACAACAGACTCAGTCCGTGGTAAAGTTACCGACAAACTTTGTAGAACCCCTACTACTGAAGTAGGCATTACAATTGCTACCCTAAGCTTCTCAAAAAACCATCTCCATATATGACCAGCAAAAGGACAATGGAGAAAGAGATGATCACCAGATTTCCCATCCTCCTTACACATAAGACAAATATTAGGCAGAATTTTCCCTCTCTTAATGAGAATATCAATCGTGAGCACCCTATTTTGGACTGCCAGTCATAAGAAGCCTTGCATTTTGAGAGGTTAGGGCAATTTCCACATGATAGCTATTTCAGGCATGGACCACCTCCACCTCCCCTATCGTGGAGAAGCAGATGATACATTGACTTTACCGAATAAATCCCAATTTTGTCAATCTCCCATACCACCTTGTCAACAACATTATGAGGAATATATACCTTATTCAATAAATTGAGTAAACCAGAAAATTGAGAGAAAAGCAAGTCAGAAACTCTATTATAAGTAAGGGTAATATTCCATACAATTTGACCACCTATTCGAACAAAACACTTTGAGACAGTAGCTTCGGGATTAGCCATCCTTTGAAAGACCATAGGAAAAAGTAATTTCAGTGGATAGTCTGCAACCCATTTGTGGTGCCAAAAAGAAATCTTTCTACCATTACCTATGAATATCTCGATGAATAAAGCTTTGACATGCTTGAATTGCCCTCCAGCCAGCCAACATACCCCTAACTCTATTCCTAGTCCCCACCCACATACCAAACATATCAGTCCCATACTTCGATGCAATAACTTCATACCAAAGATGATCTTTAAGAATAAGATTCTTCCACCACCATTTACACAGCAAAGCTTGATTAACCATTTTGATTTTTCTAATACCGAGCCCCCCTTCCTTTTTGGGCGTGCACACCCTACCCCATTGAAGGATATGGAATTTTTTTCCCTCCACTGATGACCCTCACAAAAAGTTCCTCATCATAGTCTCAATTTTCCTGGCTACTGATGTGGGGATCTATAAGATAGACATTTGATAAATAGGCAAATTTGACAAACACGCCTTAATGAGTGTAATCCTACCCCCAAAGGATAGATATTTAAACTTTCATAGATCAAGCTTGACTTGGATACGTTTTGTAGGATTTTATCCCAATCCACAATGGGACACCTCCACATCACGGCAGTTTAAGCCCACAACACTTGTTTTTCAAATTAACCATTAGACCTAAGGCAACTTCACAGCATTTAAGGAAAGTGGCAATATTGGAAACCTGAGACCTTTGTGCTCCACAAAACAAAAGGATATCATTAGCATGTTACAAATGGAAAATACATGGATCTCTATTAGGCATTTGAAAGCCTGTAAAGTGTCAATTCTTCATCACATTTGTAAGGATCAAATTAAAGCATTCCGCATAAATAGTAAAGAGGAAATGGGAGAGAGGATCCCCTTGACATGGTCCCCGGGTAGCCTTAAAAAACCCAATCGAACTCCTTTTATACAACATGGAAAAGTTGGCTGAGGATAAACAACTCAAGATCCATTGTCTCCATTTTTCACTAAATCCCACATTTTTTATTATTTTTAACAGAACATGCCATTCCACCATGTCGTAAGCTTTTTCCATATACAATTTAATAACCACCCCAGGGCTTCCATTAATGATCCGAGAGTGAATGCACTCTTGTGAAATCATAATATTGTCAGAATAAAGCCGATTGAGGACTAGAAATGATAACGGGTAAAACCTCCTTAAGTCTATCAGCCAAAACCTTAACCACAATTTTGTAAAGACTCATAAGTAAGCTAATCGATTTAATATCCCCCAAGGTAGCAATCACATACTTCTTTGGGATTAATGCGAGAAAAGTAGAGTTCACTCCTCTAAAAAGGGGTCCTTTCCTTAAGAACCCCTTGGTCATTTCCAATATCTCAGAATTAATCAAATTCTAGAACTTGTAAGAGAAGATTAATGGGAAGCCATCCGGACCATGTGCCTTATTGCCCAGAAGAGCAAAAACCACTATTTTTAATTCATCCATTGAGACATCCCTATCCAGGATAGGAATGAGATTAGGTGGGATAACTCTGAAACCCACTTGACTTAATGTAGGAGTAAATTTAACTTCCGAAGCAAAAGAAAGCTGAAAGTGATTGATAATAGTTTGAGCCATGCCCTCACTATCCTCCGCATCAACTCCATGGACAGCCAGCCCAGAGACATCATTTTGGCGCCTCCTGGCATTCGCAATAGCATGGAAAAATTTAGTATTCAGATCCCCCTCTTTCAGCCACTTCACCCTCGACCTTTGTTTTTAATACACCTCTTCCACCCTCCTAAGCTCTTGTAACTCATTCAATTTGGCACTTATCTCCCCAGCCAACTCATCAAACCATGTCCCAGTTTGTTGCATAACATGGTCTGTCACCTCAATAGATTGTAGCACTTCATCAACTTTTCTTTTAACGGAATAACACTTCTCCTTTTTCCAATCCATAAGCTTATGTTTAATATTCAACAGCTTCTTATGAAGTTGGAAATCAAGAGACCTACTGACAATCGAATTCTACTAAGTGTTTTTTATAAGGTCTAGAACTTCCTTTTCCTTTAACCAACCAATTTCAAATCGAAAGGTTTTGGACCTCCAAAGCAGACCTTAGAGGTTAACAGTATCGGAGTATGATCAGAAGAAAGTCTAGGGAGTGCTTTAACAGAAGCTAAAGGGAATTTTTGAATTTTTCAGACCACTCAGGGAAAACCAGGAATCTATCAATTTTAAACATTGAGAGATGAGAAATACTCCCATTAGTCCAAGTAAATTTCGCACCTGTAATGGGTAAGTCAATAAGAGCATGGTATTCTATGAATCTATTGAATAGACGCATCATCGAAGTAATTGTTCCCCCAGCCGAGCATTCTTCCAGCCATCTGGTAAAATTAAAATCCCCTCCAATACAGATTGGAAAATGAAACTGAGAAGTAACTTCAATCATATCCAAGAGAAAACTATATTTCTGAGTAGAAATATGGGGACCATAGACATTCATAAGGCCCCATTGAAATCAGCATTAGGTCCCATAAAACCAACAAGTATAAAAAAGTCTTTTTTTGACAACACAAAAGGAAGGCAAAACAATAGGATCGTACAGATTCCAAATACCACCAGACATATCCACTAAATCAATACCCACAAAATCTATTGCTCCTTGATCCCAGACTTCCCTGACCCCAGAAAGAGTAGGGCTCGGGAGTGTAGTTTCTTGCAAAATGAGAGCAGTAGGTTATACTTGTTGACTAAAAACAAGACATCTTTTTTCCGTCTGGGGTCACCCGGACCCCTTACATTCCAAGAAAGAAAAAATATTAAGGAAATTTAGGAAGGGAAGAACTTGAGCCATCGTCCCTGGGTCCAAAATAGACTTCTTCAAGCAGCATAGCCTCATCCATGGACTCATCATAAGCATCCTTCGAGGAAGATGAAGAGGAAGCAACTTTAGTAATTTGTGCATCTCGAATAATAATACCAGCAACAGTAGAACATTGACCTCGCGCCACCAACCTTGCAGATGAGCGTGTGCCCTTTATTAAGCTTTTACCTTTCTTTTTCTTAGCTTCCATATCCTTTGCATGGGTCGAGTTCCCAGCATCCCCACCAGTATTATCCTGTTTAGATTTTTTCTTGCTATCGTCAGTGGGGTATGATTTCCAGCTTTGATTTTATCCACAATATCTTTAAAAACAACCCCAATGGGGACATCGAAATCCATCCCACTATCAAACACTATCGAGCCCACAATTTTCTCTACTCGATCATTCTGAGCTTGTTTGTCACAAGCCACCAAAGTAGCCATATCGTCACTCTGCGACAACGCATCATAAGTAACCTCCATTGTTACCCTAGGCTCTGTCTTTGACAAGTGAAGGAGTAGAGGTTGCTCCTCACGAATCACAAAGATTGGGGCAACATCTTCTTCTTCCATCGTTGCCACGAACTCCTGCTCCTCCATCTGTGACAGTGCTTCTCCCTCTGGTAAGGCAAACACTGCGTCTTCCAAGACCACATCTTCCACCATTGTGCATCATCATCCATCACCACGAACGCTATTGAGTTTTTTGAAAGTGGGTCAAAAAGCAACCTCTGTGGCACACAATTCTTCCTTCCTGCACGACGGTGCCAAAATGGGCACATGATTGCCAAGATTGCGAGCACTACTTGGACAACAACCACCGATCGAAGCTTCTGCACTTCTATCAGAGAAGCCAACACCTTAAAAGGGCTTAAAACCACCTTTTTCTGCCCTGTTGATTGAAAGGCAGAAGCCAAACTCTGCACCTCCTTCATCATCGGGAAGAAAACACCGCCTTCATGGTCATGCCAAACGGTTCTAGATGGCGTTCCTTAGCAGTAACCGCCAATCCCAAGATATGCGCCTCATTCTCCTAACGGCTCGATAAATCTTCATTTCTAGCGCCATCATGACAACCCAAAACATTTACAATCTCTGGTTGTACTACCTTTGGTGGTCCCTCATTAGCCCTTCGAGGACCAGCATTAAAGTCAACAACGGTACGCTTAGAACCCGCCGAGCAATAAGTAAAACGGCCCACCGAAAACCATGCTTCCGAATTTTAAAATTTTGAAACTCCCTTTGCATATTCGTAAAATTTTGGGGTCCTTCCCTCTGCAACTGGTGGGAATTCCTCTTTTTCGGCGTGACCCTACTACGATAGACCACCTTCTGCCATCCAATTTTTCCATCCATCTCATTGTCAACCTTCTACAAATCTGGATGGTTACAACTTCTCTCTGCAGATTCTTGCTCCATTGAAATGGAGAAAATTTCTTAACCCACCCGTAAAGTCAAAACTTAGGAATGAGCGCCCCCTACAATTTCCAGATACAGACCCTAACAAATTGCAGATCAACCCCATTAAAGGCCAACTTATCAACATCACAAAACTTGCCACACTTGTTTGCACCATGTACAAGAATACCCAGTAATCTGATCTACAAGCTACCTTTTTGAAGATAAGAACGATGAGAATCAGGTCTCCAAGGATCAAGGGACAAAAGCTTCCCCCTAATGCGAACAAAACGGTTCTTCAAAGCCATGAATGAATCCTCCTTAGAACGAAGGAAGAAGATGATCTTGTTCTCCCCCATGTTTTTAACTCTTGAAGGATAAGATAAGCTCCAACTTCTTCTAGCCTAGTCAAAAAGGCCAAAAATATCGGTTGAAGGGGGAGAGAAAGAGCCTACCATTGGGAACTGTGCACCTGACAGAAGACCTCCTGCCAGATCATACCTAATAGTGACCATAGTCGCGCTATCTCCCCCCTCAGCATCTCCATCCCCTTCAGAGACCATCTCTCCTTATCTATGTGACTTTTCTCTTTCTTTCTCTAGATATCTTTGTACCTCCCCTCTTCAAGAAGTTTTTCTATCCCTTCTTGTCTTATCTTGCTACTCATCTAGCTCAACATTCTCATCTTAAGTACATTTATCTTATGGTTATGTTGCTTCTTCACCGTCCAATATTCCACCCCTAAATTGGTGTCAAGACGAGTGGCTTCTTTGATGTAAAGATCTTTAAGATCTCATTCCCAACTCTAAATTGTCTAGAGATGACCATGCTCGCGAGATCCATTTGTAGATGGCATGATTAATGTTAGCAGCGTGAAGTCGTTTCTTATCTTGAGTTTGAAGACAAGGATGCCATCTTTTTTTAGTGGACATGAGAGATCGTGAAGAAATGATATCTGATTTCAACGGGCAGGACAGTCTCCACTTCATACACCAAGATGCATGGAGTCATGTATTTCGATGACAAGTGATATGTTCGTGGCTTCAACATGATCATTCCCTTGTAGGTAGTAGGGTGTAGAGAATGTACATAAGCTATATGATATGTAGAAGTGATATCAGTGAAAACCAGTAGCATGGTTGGTTAGGCTACCTGGCTACTGGTAACCGCTAGGGAATTTGAGCTTGGTCGGTAATATTAGCACATACAATATACCATTTCATATTGAATCGCCTATTATGACCAAGAATTGGTACGACTTTGAGTGATTCCCGATACTGAACTGGCGCTTTTTTAATCTGATAAAGGCCAATATTCTAGATCTAATTTCTCCTTGTGGTATTCTTAATTAGGCATCTTTTCATATTGTTACCACATGCAAAATTCTGATTTCTAGAAATAAAAAGCAATATTTGCAAAAATGCATGGATTTGGGGTGGTTCTAGATCCGACCATGGGCTTTTTAACTTTGGATCCGGTTTCTATGCGGCCAATCCCGCATAGGTTGAAATGCGGGCCACTTCATAAATCTATTTTTG